CTGCTGTTTGTACACTGGCTCGGCAGTTAAATTTAGCCGTGGATAAAAAGGGAATTATTGTAGAAACTCTGGAGCTGAAGATGGCAGACGCAATATGACCAGCAAAGCACAAGAGGACTGTCGAGTTGCGCTCGCTTCAGTTTCCTTGGTAACCTGAGGGAAATTAGCAACAGTGAGTGCAGAATACTTCCGCTGCATGAATAGCATTGGCAAGGTCAGGAAAGCAACCTTTTCATTTTTATGAGCGAAATGTGCCTGTGATTCATCCGTTGAGTTACATAAGATAAAAGAAGGGGTCGAAAAAGAGAGAGATGCGGCCTCAGCATTTTGTAACAGTGAGGTCATCTGGCAGCCGAAGACGTGAACTCGAAGTGAACTTTTATTTGTCTGCGTCTGTGGTGCTCAGGGCGCAGAGCAGAGGTGTTTCTGCTCTGCGCCTGTCAGTCAGACACTCGAGCGTGTTCAGGCTTTTTAATTCCTGCTGTTTGTGTACGTGGTATATGCTGTTGTGCTCTGTTTAGGCTAAAGACCCAGTCCTTCATTTATTCAATGATACGCCACACCTCATTCTTTAACATGTTAGGACTGTCTTCACAGACATTTACAGGACATTTATTAACATTTAATAATTTAGTGTGTTCGTTCAAATGTCAGGTGTAATTTCTGAAATAGCAATGAAAGAGGAAATTCATTTGTTGGGGGTGGATTTCAAGTCGCCCAAAAGCAGATTTAAAATATGTTTTTTATTTAAATATTGCCCTTTTTTATCCATCTCTTTGTCTTATGTATAGTTTTTTGCCGTATCATTCTTTGTTTTTGCAACCACACGAGAAGTACAACCAAACGCTGAATAAGACATTTTTACGCGACCAAAATGTAACTAACTTTCATGAACTGAAAACACACTGAAAGGGTTAACAACCCCTGGACTGGACAACACCGTGGTAGCGATCTATCAATCACAACGTGGCCCCGCCCTACAGCATACCCTGCTTTATGGTCTATTTGACTCTAAATGGGACCATAGTCTACTAAATAAACATCACGCTGTATAGAAGAAGACTAGAAACTGGAGATTGAGACCATAAACTCATGTTTACAATGTGTACGTCTATATAATCAGACATCATTTTACAGCCAGAGGAGTCGCCCCCTGATGGCCATTAGAGAGAATGCAACTTTAAGGCCCTTCAGCGCTGGCTTCATTTTTCAGAACCAAAGGTTGCCCAAACACACCAGCAGCTTTGTCATGAAATGAAAAATGAAATCGATCAGAAAATGATCAAGACATGATATATACTTCATGCTTTTGTTTGTTTTGGGAAAACAAACACTTGCAAGCATGTTGTTGGCGAAAGGTGAACCCAATGGTTCATTTTAGTTCTGCAGGGAGGGAAGCTGTGTCAGCTGGTTCGATATTACGGTGTTTGTTTGTGTGTGTGTGTGTGTGTGTGTGTGTGTGTGTGTGTGTGTGTGTGTGCGCGTGTGCGCTGTGTATATGGCAGAGGGAAGTTTTTGAAGGGTGACCTATCACTTTAAGAGTGTCAGAGCTCCTTGACGGGCTCCTCATCTTTTTTTCTCTCACAACATCGTTCTTCTGCCATGCATGGCTTGTTGCCGAGGTAACCGGCCTGAGACTGGTTTAGCATTTCCAGCAGTGCCTGGTGAATCAACTCACGCTGACATGCAACTGACAACAACATGCTGCCTGACTGGCTCAGGTATTTTCTCCCCCCCAAAAAAACAAATGTCAGCAGAGTCAACAACCCCTGGTGCTGTACTCTTACACCAGGACTGTATATCAAAGGCACCAAATGCTTGATATCATATTTGGCCGCTCGCCGTGGTGACGACGCTGCTTTGGGTTGTAAGGCAGAAAAATCTAACCCGGTGATGGAAACGTCTTTGTGTGGCCCATCTGTTTCCAAATGAGGAGTTATAGTTACCGTGTTTCTCCAGCAGAGGACACTGTGTGTGTGTGTGTGTGTGTGTGTGTGTGTGTGTGTGTTTGCATATATATTTCTGCATGCATGTGAGTCATATCACCCCACATGGCTGTCAAGCATGTCATTCTATTGTTTTTCATTCTCTAACGAGCAAACGTTTTTTTTGCACAGACAGCTGCCATTGACTATATTTAGATGCACATGTTTAATAGTTACTCTGACAAGGAAAGGAATGCAAATCAGCTCCTTTTGCACCGCAGCAGCAGCAGCAGCACACTTTTCTATTACTTGCTTTATTTTTCCTTTTTTTTTTTTTTGATCGACCAGGTCACTATCGAGCTGCCTCCCCACTGACTGAAAGCACATCAGTCCATTCCTTCCCATCTGAATCTGCATTTGTATTGCTCCCCTGGTATTCTCACTGTTTACAGGTAATCCATCTTTTAAAAACAAACAAATGGTTTTCATGGACAAGTCTGCAACCGACGAAAGGACAGATTGGAATTACTCAGCCCTCCATTAATTACACTAATGGTGAAACACTTTGCATACTTGGACTGCACTATTCATATTTATTATAATCAAAGGGACATAAATCACAGTATTGTAAGTACCACGGTAGCTCCGGGAGGACTTCCCCCTCCACACACAATACACATATACAACACATACAGTGATAAAAGGGGTTACATTTTCGTTTTAATGAAATATTTACAGCCACCTTTCAAGGCGGAATCATTTGCTTCCCTTCCTCTACATGGACCTGATCAATATGCATTGTCACTCACTGTGCCCAGCTGGGGACCCACTCAGGCCTGCATGGCAGCAGGACTGGGTGTGATGCAACATCTTGCAATAAACAATGTGCTGTAAGAGCATGTAACACATGCGGCCAGCGGCTCAAGTGAAACCCGAGCCTAGTGGGAAACCAAACATGCGAAACATTGATGGAATAAAAGGAGGGGATTTTGTTTGTTATGTCCTCGATGCCCTTGCTCATTCCTCGGCTGGTGGTTTCCCGCTTGCCTGCTTTGTTAGACTTGATGACGGGCCCGAGGGTGACCGTTATGAGATGACCTGCCTCATCGATCACCTGTCACAGGTATGGATTAGAGGAGAGATCAATGGGACAGCCTTCCAGTCTGAAGTGTAGCAGGGGGAGAGCATGCGACTGCTTGATAATGGTCCGACCCCTGAGGTCCAGCAGTCTGTTTTGATCTGTGTGTGTGTGTGTGTGTGTGTGTGTGTCTGTGTGTATGTGTGAGTACTCACTTCCTTCGCTGCCTCTTAAATCAGGGTATTATCAGTCACCAGGTCTTCTTAAAGCTCTGTTGTCCTTTTCCCCAACCTGTCTGAGCGTCTGCCACAGTTACCTGCTGCACAGCACAAACCTGTTTTATTTCTTTAACACGGCTGCAGATTTATAGGCTCAAAGAATGTGTGGCTGTATTGAGAGGCTCTGCGGCAAAGATTGGCTGTCAGGTTCCTACTGATCTCCCGTGGGACTAATGTATTTTCGTGCACTATTTGAGCACAATGTAAACTGGAAAATAATGAATGTAATAAAAAACATTTTTTCACACATGACGCCTTTGTAAATTACAAAACAAAGACAGCATATTACCCCGAGCCACGTGATGTGCAGTGAAGATGTGGGTTTTTTGGGTCTTCATTTTCTCAAATATAAAAAATATTTGGATGTTGCTTGAACGTGACTAAATGCACATTTTCTCTCCAAGAATTCATTTACATGTCTCGTATCAATCAATTTGATTTAAAGCACGAATACAGACAGATACATCATTTCAGGCCCACACGTGTGCAACCAATGATACTGGTGTTGCATTCAGGAGCATTGTCACACACAGAAAAAGTAGATACACGTTAGATGTAGAGTCTCACTTCTCCAGTGAAAGACTTCATCTGTCTACAGCGCGTGGTGCTGAAAGAACAGCTCCCAAAGCTCCACACAGAGGATGTGGCACAATTCAAAAGCAAAGCAGAAATACAGAATCATTATTTATTATTATTTTTGATTTATTTTATTTGCCAGTTTCTGATGTGAGGCTATTCAG